GGAAAACAGACAAGGTGTTTTGGTTGGTTTTTGTTTGTTTTAAGGTATTTGATACAAGCCTGCCACAGGAAGGAAGAACAAGAACTGATATACAGGATCAACAGATAGCTACCCAAATGTCTGACTTGGCATTTTGCCAGTTTGATATGACTCATCAATATTTCAATTAACAGAGGTTGGCAAGAGCTTAATATTTTATCCACTACAAGACCCATGACACATACTGTACATACACTGATGTCTACTTTAGTCTGACAAGAAAAAGCATCAAACCAGATTCTGTGTTTTGTCAAGTATGAGAATTTGTTTCTTAAGAAGCCTCTTCACAAGTCTACTCATGCTGCAATGGGCTATGATGCAAAAGGAGCAGAAAGAAGAAAGCAGGCAGAATCAGCTCTCAGTTTAAAACATTTCATCATCTTCTACACAAGGCTCTATTCTAGTCTCTTACCAATTCTTTGGCTAAAAGAAAATAGAACCACCAGAGTGAAGAGGGCCCTTCAGTGAACACACACGTCTCTTTTTTTTTTTTTACAGTAAATAAACCAATGTTGGAGATTTGATCATGAATCACTTCAGTTTGTCTTTGCCACAACTGAAAACGTGACTGCGTAAACAAAGGCAGCAAAGCTCATATTCACCAGCACATCTATGAAAGACACAACATCAGGCAAGACGTGGTGATGTTTCTGCCTCTGGGTGACAGTCAACTCTCAACAATTCCCTTGTGCTGTTCCAGTGACCCCACATAACGATATCAAGTGATTAATGTGTTATGATCACATGTCCATGTGGTAACAGAAGGTCAGTAATTTTTCACTGTAAATTCATTTTCCCAGGTGATTAAGAGCAGTGGTTTAAACAAAGGAGAACTATGTCCCCTGCAAAGAAACATTTTTAATCCCTGTCCAATGCAAGTTCCTAAGGTTTATCACTAGAACACCACCACACAAATAGTTGATTCACATTCACTATGGTGATGGAAATTTTTGCTAGCCAGTGGATACAGAAAGACTGCTTAAGTCACTTAGGCCAGGGCCTCCTAAAGTAGCTGCTGACATTTAAAGCATCTGCTCTGTCGGCAGCTGATCAGCACTGAGACCCTTCTATGCCTGCCCCCACTTCACACCCTTCTAACTTTTTTCCCTTTGCAGTCATTCTGAATATTAAATTCAGTATCAGAACAGCCATCTTTTAACCTGTCCACATGGCTAAAACATCTACCACAGTAAGGTGATCCATCAATTTTTTTTTTCTGTAAAATGGTAATTTCGCTTATTTATTTTACTTATTTAAAACAACCTGATTTCTCAGCATTCCTGACCTGAAAAAATGGACAAGCATGTTTATACAGTACTAACTGTAAAAACAAAACCAAAGGGGGAATTGATTTTGCCCACTGTGGAGGAGATGAAAGTGGCAAATTTAGACAGTCTGGGAAACTGAATACACAGGCAGTAAAAGGAAACAAATAAAAGGCAGCAATCTCTTTTACACATCTCTTTATATAAAAAGAGGCCTATCTTACAAATACACATTTGGCCTTGCAAGCTCTCCTCTGCCTTTTCTTTAAAAAAAAACATATAATAAACAAAAAACCAAAATCCACAAACTGCAGATATGATGAAGATGTTACATGCAGCAAAGCATTAAAAGTTCAATCCTCAAAACAGCCCAATCTTCCCCACTGCTGACATCCTGCAGCTGCATGAAGTCTGAAATTTAAGATTAAGAAAATTAATCTGTCCATGAAAAAACTGACTTGCTCAAAAATCTAGCTATGATTATTAGTGTCCCAGTAGCCCAGAGACAGCCTGCAGAAGTTCTGTGGCAGAAGTGATGTACACAAGGCGGTAGCACCAAAGCCTAGTTCTGAGCAGACATGCCAGGCAACTCAAAGAGATCACCTTCCTAATTACGCCAGATCTGCCTGGTTTGCCTACTTCAACTGAGTCACAGAAAACCAAGCCCATCTATTTACACGTCTCTGTTATAATTTTAGCCTCAACAACTCCGGATGATTACAGGAACATTGGAGTAAAAAACCATAACACTACTGCCAGAGAACAGAATCAACACACAATCAAAATAGAAAGATTATGGGTGAACAAGCAAAGAACAGTAAATATTATTAAACTGATATAAGGCTGAGAGCCATAGCAAAAGAAACTGAACCAATACGAAGCAGTAAGGCATAATAAATCAACCACACTAATCACTAACTACTTACATATGGTTATCTTATTGTTATCTTACATTTTTTAGCCAACTAATTTTTTCACAAAATGTACAAGAGCAGCCTGTCTGATAACACTAGCATAAAGCAGGGAGAAAGATTTAAATTAGAAAACCACTGCTAAAAATTCTTACTGCAGAGAGATTCAAAACATCTTTGCAGCAGAAAATGCAGATGATCAGTATGGCTTTTCTCCACACATTCATTATGTCATTTTGTTTACAGAATATGGAAAAATTAACATGTAGCAACTGCAATACTGCAGAAGACATTGGTATGTTAGGTCTAAAACAGTTGCCATTTTACTTTACTACCTTAAAAACATTTATTAGGAGTGAAGATAAACTCAATTTCTTGTAGTATGTTGCTTAACTCTTCAGCTTCCACTAGCAATGCAAATTTGAAGCAATCAGCCACTTAGGATTTTTAACTTTCATTGTTCTCCTGATACAGTGGAAATCTGACATATATACCCTTAAATAGTTCTTGATCTTTTGAAATAATTGCTACCAATAGGAACAATCCCACAGACAGATCTATGAAACAGCTACTTAAATCTTTGTGGGTAGAAGCACCCAAAAATAAATCTATCTATGGTATGAAGAATTCTACAGAAACCCTACTTTAAGAAAGTATCACATGCAAAGGCTTCAACAGTTTTATCTAAAGACTAATACTGCTACCTGGAATTAATTACTGGAAGGAAAAAAACCCCTACCTTCAGATATAACTTTGTTTTGAATTTATTAACAGCAGCCTAATAGGCAAAATATATAAGCCAGTTTTTTTCTCTTAAAAAAAGATTACAAATATTGACACTACTTCTAAAGTGAAACCATCCGGTAGACTTTGCCAGTTGATAACTTTCTAAAAACAAACACAATAGAGTCAAGAACATCAAAGCAGACAAGAATTAATCTGCTTTCTTACAGGCTAAAAAAATCTAATATATATCAAGGTATAAGTTCCTTATATGATTAAATTTTCTGCTAGTAAGACGAAAAGATATGTTGCTACATCCTTCCTTTTAACTCTGCATTTTGTAAGAGAAGTGGAGCAGCCCATAAAAAAAAAAGTGTCATAGCTTTTAAGTCAGAAGTAAGCTTTGAACTTTATTGGCAAGCTTTAGCGTCATTAAAATTACCTAAATTTATACTTTATGTATCAGTCTACATTTCATAATTCTGACTTTGTCAGTATGGCTCATTATTTGCAGCACTTTAACATACTTTAATACTTGCAAAATGCTTGAACTACACTCAAGAGAAAAACAATTCACATACTCCTATATAAGCAGAGTTGAGTCTGTGTGTTTCTCCTACCTTCCCAGTGTTTTATCTCCTTGCTCACACCAGCTTTCTGCTTGCAATCATTCAATTATCAAGTCTCATGGACAACTTCAGCAGCAAAATGGTAAAACACAAACACCATCAAAAAGTTTATCTGTGCAGGCTTTCTGATCAATTTTCTGTGGGCATGCCTTACATCCCTCCCCCTCCTCCTCTCACTGTAGGATCTAGTTGTATAGACCAGGCTAGAAGCCCCAGTACTTGCTAATTGTGCTATACTTGCTCCAGGAAGATACAACTAGTCACATAAAAATAGCCAGAGAAAGCCCCCACGCTCACCCTCCTTAAACTGCATCTCTCTGCTTTGTTGTGAAGGACTACCAAAAATAATCAGTACAACCCATGGCAAAACGCAACAAAAATAAATCTGCGTGCCATCCTCATCTAGTATTTCCTCCCTGAGGCAAGCTTGTGCTACCAGCCCAAGGAAGAACTGTCATAGCATGCCAAAATTGAGTTAGGCCTACGCCACAAGCCTTCTTTCTTGTTCCTAATGTTCTCAGTAGTTTCAGAAAATAGTAACAGAAAACTAACAGGAATAGGATTCTTCTCAGTTCCAACTGCACATAACATATATGCCTAGTTTTGTGCTTATTTCATCTTCCTGCTGTTGACTTCAGTTTGATGCTAACCAATAAAGAAACAGACGACATCTGTGATACTACTAATACAGTAAAAGAATGTGCATTTGCCTGCTATAGATAGAGACTTCAGACTATTCCAGAGAATAAACAATGATGTGTTCAAAGAAGGCAATAAAAAAAAAAAAAATCAGACATAATAATTCAAGGAAACATAATTGAATCTACAAGAAAAATATTGCATCTACCAATTCAGGTCTCTGTCAGTAGTCCACTTGTCACATATCAAAGTTCCTGGGCTGAGAAAGTTACCTTTTAAAAAGTTCCATTTGTTTTCTTCTGGGTTATTTCTGCTTGCAACCATTTTGTATATAGACCATAGAAAGTAAAGTTAACTTCTCAATACAATGGACAACATGTCCCATTGATTATTTTGGGGGAAAGTGACAGGTTGAACTTCTTCACCTTCAGATGTCTGCATATAAACAAAAGTTTCTGAATAAAAGGAACTGACTACAGCAAGCAAAAAATTCTCTTAACGTAATCATCTGTTTATGTTAAAGTCAACCACTACTTAGCCTTTACCCAAGAAACATACACAGACCATCTGGAGACTGCTGTTGTCGTTTAGGCCAGGATAGACTAGACACAAAAATGAATTACTACTCAATAATTGAATTCACGTGGAGGAGTTTGGATGTTTGTTGCCTCTGTGATAGGAATGATTATTAATTCACCAAACACCACAAAGAAGCTGCATTCCCCAGTTTCCCCCCAAAACAGTTTGTAATAATCCAGAGAGACCAATATCTTTAATCATGTTTTTATTCTTACCTCAGCCTTTCTTCTTCTTTCTTACGAAGGCTGAAATCTCGCTGAACCACCTGAAGCACATGCTCTGCTTCTTCATCAGTCAAGCCAGAAAGATCCAGTTTTCTCCCCATTATATACTCTGTCCTGGATATGAATAATTATGAGGAATATCTGAAATTAGAAACAAACAAACAAAAAATAAGGTAAAATAAATTGAAAGCATCAATATTTTTCCCAAGTGTGTTGAAATGACAGGCACATCTGCACAACAAAAATAAAGTTGCTGCCATTAATGTCAGAAGTAAATCAAAGAATCATTTAGGTTGGAAAAGACCCTTAAAATAGAATCCAGTTGGTAACCCAACACAGCCAAGTCCAACACTAAACTATGTCCTTAAGTGCCACATCTACACATCTTTTAAATACCTCCAGGGATGGTGACTCAACTGCTTCCCTGGGCAGCCTGTTCCAAAGCTTGATAACACTTCCTGTGAAGAAATTATTCCTAATATCCAATCTAAACCTCCCCTGGCACAACCTTTGAATGACTCATTTCAGAATTATTTTTCAAGCTCCATGCACTGAAAGCAATCACTCTCAATTTAAAAATAAATGCAAAAGATAAATTATTTGGGATATTATTTAATATTGAGGGAAGACTCCACTGTCGTCCTCAACGAGAAACAGGATAAACTCACTCTGGTGAAATCAGGTTTGGACATTTCTTAAGATTTTATGTCATGAGTTTGCAAAATGCAATTCCTGCAACTGGGTATGAACAAAGAACATACTCTCCTGTAACATTCAAAAATATTTTGTACTACCAACTAAGGAACCAGGAATTATTTTAAAACACCATAAAAAAACAGTAAGCATATACATTTCAAATGCATTTCTCAGAGTGACTGGAAATATTTAGATGTCACTACCACCACAATAGCATTATTTCCCCTTTCTGTGAATGACAGTGGAGGAGAAAAAGTAGTAGTCATGTTATGTGTGAATTGAAGGTACTATAAAGTCTGACAAAGAAAGCTAGGTCCATTTATTTCATTAATGAATTCCCATCAATTTATTCTAATTTATTTTCTCATTACTTTTATTAATTTTGTTGAATTCTAGTAAGTTCAGCTCTCTGTATTCATTTCTGTAATTTGGTTTATGTAATTATTTGGGCAAGCAGAGAGGTGTCCATCCCCACATTGAATTATGGTTTCAGAAATGTCACACAGTTTTTGCAGCTCTGTTATGAGCTCCTAGCAATGTATATAATAATTAAACACACAAAAATTCTTACAGTATACTGAAGAGGCAACTATTATTGCCTTCTTTATCCATGATGGATGTCAGGTGAATAAGGCTACGTAAAACAATAAGCTGGCTCTGCCTCAAAAACACACCTCTAAGCAACACTTACGGCATACAAGTAAGTGTTCCAAATAGTATAGCAAGTAGAAGCACAGGGAGGAAAAAAAAAGAAATCACCTTTATTTTTCTAAATATAACAATTTATTTGCTACTTGGATGATGACGGGGGATGTGGTTGGTTGGGTTTTGTTGTGGTTTTCTGGGGTTTTGTTTGTTTGTTTGCTTGTTCCTCCAATCACCTAGTTACAGGTCTCTGAACAAGAAAAGAAAAAAAAAAAAAAACACCACACATGGAAGGAGGATATTGCTTATTTTTTCTATTTTGGTTAGTCTACCAATGAAGCTAATAATACACTCTTCATTTAAGGAAACACTACCTCGGCAAAAACAAGCAGATGAGATAGAAGCTTCAGTAAAAATCAAGATGACAAGATCCCTCCAACGAGACACGTGCTCACCATACAGCTAACAAAGGTCACAATGGAACAGTATGTTCTGGCTTGACTCTTTGGGTCTACTAAGGAAGCTGAACAGGAACATCAACAATGAGTGAATAAAGGCTATGAAAATATACTTACTAAATTACCCCAATTTTTTAAATAAAAAAGTGCCACAGAAACAAAGACAGCGTAGTCTTCACTAATACCACTTGTAAAACCAAAAACATATGTTAAAATTAAAAGTTGGCTAAAATATAGCAAGGAACAACTGGCAAGATTCTATTCTGTCCCGTCCCCCACACACACGCACATTCATATTCCTGAAATTTTCACCAGAATGTTAAGATTTTCCCCGTCCCTTCCTCCTCAGCCCTTGTACCAAAGCCTCACTGGGCACTGGCAAGCGTAAGAAACAGCAAGGTGGGGCTTACTGAGGTTACGCTTACACGTCATGGCTCAAAGACAGGACAAGCAGTGTGCTGGGACACATTCTTCCCTTCGGGCTTTGGGATACCTGTTCAGCTCTTCCCATGCAAAGCACTTTAGTGCAAAGTGACTTTCTAAAAGCATGGAAGGGCTTCTACTCAGGAAAACCACTTCCGCAGGGAAATAAGCAGGACTTTTCCAATTAACTTTTCTCACACCCATACACTTTACATGAGAAACACAGGATAGAAACTAAAAAGAAGTAAAACTATTTTAAGCAATTGCTGGAGCAGAGCTACCGTTGCCTGAGACACAAGACTGAAGAGACTAGAAGATCAAAGATGCCGTTCCAGTTGTTCTTGAGCACCAAGTTAACAACTGTAACATGTCCTAAATTATTCTCCCTTCAGATCTTCATCAAAATGTTTTTGGAAACTTTGTCAAAATTAATACTGTTTTTACACAGACAAACTGTGGTCCACCTCTAAAGAAAATTATCCCTTTGATTCAGCCATCACTGCCAATTGTGAGCATGTGTTAGAAGGGGGAAATTTACCTCTAAATCTGGGGGTAAGTGAGCAGCCCCACTACTCTGAACTTTGGGGCCAGCAAAGACTTAATTTCAAGTACACATATACTCTAAAATCACCAGCAACTAACTTGTGATTTTCATGTGGTTTATTTACCTTTAAGCCTTGTAGTCTGCATTCCAAGATTACATTAACCTCTAAGGAACTTGTGTGTTTTTTCCCAGGAAATAATTTTTTATCACATTACCAAATCACCTCTGATGTGGGAGTCTCACAGCAGTTTATAAATATTCAGAAACAATGGTCAAATGTCTTTTTTTTCAGTAGATCCAGACTATGCATTTTGAAAATACACAATGGCAAATCCTCTAGAGGAATTATAACAAGATATAAAAAAAAAAAAAAAAAAAACAACAAAACAAAACAAAACACACACAAAATAGTGTCTCAGCCTAAAATAACTTCTGGTCTCAACTGAACTAACTTACATGAGGCTGTTCAGATGTTTACCTTCATGAGAAATAACTTCTTCACTAAATCTCAAACTGAATACAAAATTTAAGCTTTCAGAGACATTACAAGGAATAATATAATTCCCAGAAAACTTTTGCTCAACAAATTAACACCGTATAACAGGAAGTCTAGACTTACAATACATGATTGGGTATTGTCTGAGTAATACTCTAATCTTAATACTTCTTACAGTCTGTTCTAAAATCCAAATAGAATTTCCACATCGAAAACTTTTCTAGAATTTAACCTTAAAAACAAACAAAAACAAAGCATGAAAGTAGACACCAAAGCAACCATAAAAGCCTCACAGAACAACAAGTAAATTAAATGTTTTTCAAGAACTGCAAGCAGTGCTTCTGAATTTTAAAAGGGATGAAAGCGTCAACACAAGAAATGAGGGCAAGTACTCTATTTCCCAGTCACTCATAAAATAGCTAAGCTGTCTGGACTTGCAGTCTCAGCAGAAGATTAGCATTGCAGGAGGGTTGGGAGAAAGCCCACAAACTTTTTTTTTTAAGTACCAACTAACCTTTAAAACAGATTCTCTGCTTCACAAAGAGCCACATTATAAAGTTAATTATGCAAGTGGTCACAGTGAATATTGTACAACACATACATCTTAGTTTTATACTGTAGCAAAGAAATCAGCACTAGCAAGGCTGCATCTGGAATGCTGCGTCCAGTTTGGGCTCCTCAGTACAAGAAAGATCTGGACTTAATGGAGCAAGTCCAGATCAAGGTCACAAAAATGATTAAGGGACGGGATCATCTTTCACAAGACGAGATGCTGGGAGCACTGCTCAACTTGGAGAAAAGAAGGCTCAGGGGAGGCTACAGAATGTGTATCTGGCAGAGATCCCTCCAATACTGCAAGCAAGAATATCTTACAATTCTTACCATTTCTGAGAAAATTTTAATCGAGATTTCACCTGTTTCCACAACACAGTATCATTTTTGCTTTAAAATGCTATTCCTGTGCATTAATGAAATGTGATACGTGAGGAGCCAATATCACAAACTCCTTCAGCTCAGCCATTTGCAGTTGAGGTATCTAGTACAGAACACCTTTCCCTCACATGGTCTCAGCTTTAGACTCACCAAACTAAACACCAGAACTTTTCTACTCTGTTCTGCTACTCTACCACTTCTAGTATTTTCCAGGTAGAAAATCAAGAATAAAAAACCTGCTAGTAATTATATCTTTGATTCTGTTGCCAACTAACTCATCTTTATTTCCTTCAGCAGTCTGTCAGGACCTAAATAATACTGCTTGATATGTCTTGTCATTATAGTTTGGCATTTGACCAACTTTTGCAGAATTCTTTTAGTACCTTATGAAATTCTTTGTATAATCTTGTGGTACATTTTAAAAGGGCAACATATTCACGAATAAGATAGTCATCTTTACAAGCCAAAAAGGAAGACAAGCACTTTGTCCACAGCACAGCTCCTTAACCAGACCTCGTATTAAAAAAAAAAAAAAAAAAGTTTTGTTTATTGAACATCCAAAAGAATTGATCACATTGCCACAGCACAAGGTCATTACTCTAAGTTTTTTAATGTGTCACATATCTCTCTATATAGTTTATATATACACACACATATCTAATGTCACACACTTTATTTGGTGACAAAAATAAGGTCTGAGTGTTGAAAAAGTAAAGGGGATTCCTATGTTTTGAATTATGTCAACACACTTGAACAAAACAGACTTTAGCTAAGAGACAACAAAGAACATTACTGTCTATCTCTTCTACTACAGCTAGCATATCATTGAGTCTAAAATAAGGCATAATTAATATTGGTCACAAATTTCTTAATCTTTTTTAAACTTCAAGGAATTCTAGAAGCTGCAGTAAACAACACTGAGGATATTCTTCCCTCTTCACCGGAA